CAGGCGGACAGGAAAACCGGATTTGGGCCCAAGTTCCTTTCTCTCTTTGTTTTTTTTATATTTGTTTGCTCGTTATTATTTGCTATTAATCTTAAGGTTTTTAAAAGAATTCAAATCCCCAAAAGACACCAATTTTTTTTATTAATTACTTAAACTAAATTGTTCATCTCTACTTAACGTAAAAGAAAATAAATAAATAAATTCACAAAATATTTCACTTAGATAATATTTCAATATTTCCCCTTTTCCCTTTTAAAAATAGTTCTAACTATAAAATAATTCAATTTTTTTTTACAAAGTTAAGCTAAGTTAAAATTATTTTAGCCAAATAATTAATTGTCGGATAACCGCATTAGCGGATATTCCAGGTGCTTTAAAAACCTTCCTAGAATATTAATAGGAACCTCGAACCCCCTTAAAAGTTTTCAATAGATTTACTGTTTCAGTCTTTTGAAAACAATAGTTTTCTTAATTTTTTCTTAAAAATTAAGTGGCGACTCTAAACCACTCAAAAAATATATTTTCCTAATAAAACAAATATATTGATATTTTGTTAATAAAAGTCTTAAGGTGTATATTTTTGTAATTTTCACTTTTATATAACATATTAAGGACAAGAAGGTGTCTATGAATGATTTATATTTTCATGGATTAATTTTGTCATCTCTGATTACAATATTGATATAACAGTTTATTATTTTTTATTTCAATTAACGGTAGATACAAATGATTTGAATTTTTGGTGTTAATATCAACATGAATGACCCCTTTTTTGGATTCAAATGTAGAGTTGAATGTGATTTTGACATCCTAGCCCCCCATTTTGACCTTTTATAGAAATTAATGATTCATTTAGGGTGTGTTTGGTACGGATGTTTTCTAATTTTTTCATGATTGGTTGACTTAAATGTTTGGAAAATATTTTTCAAATCAATTCATTTTACTCAAATTTAAGGTAAATGACTTCCCTTTCAAAATTAGGAAAAACAATTTCCAAACCTTTATTTCATACTTTAATTTTTTTGTTTACCCTACCCATACCCCATACTCGACCCTACCCATTCAAAAAAAAAAAAATTTAAAGTACTTATTTTTAAAATTTCAAATATATTTTATCCCTACCACCAAACTAGCCCCCCTCTCCCGACCTCCGCCACCCCAAACAAAAAAAATATTTTTTGAAAAATGTTTCAAATTTTAAAAAATATTTCAATTTTTTTTTCACGTCACCCCCCCTCTCCCCGCCCGCCCGCCAGCCACCCCTCCCCCCAAACAAGATCACCCCCGCCTAGGCCACCCCGTCCTCCGCCACAGAGCCCAATATTGCTGGCATCAATCTCAATGCCAATGGAAATCCAGGGCATGTTCTTCTGCCAGCACCAAATGGAATCAATTCAAAATCTTTTCCACGCATATTCAATTCTAAACTCCGGAATCTCTCAGGTTTGAACACTAAAGCGTCTTCCCAGAAAGAAGAATCACGACCAATTGCCCACGCATTGACTAGTACTAGTGAACCCTTTGGAATGATATAATCACACAATTCAACATCTTGGTCCACCCTGCGGGGGATTAAGAATGGAGCTGGTGGGTGAAGTCTTAATGTTTCTTTGATGATAAATTGCAAGTAAGGGAGTCTGGATACATCAGCCTCTTCTATTGGTTTTCCTTTTCCAACGACTTGTGCAAGTTCAGCTTGGACTTTCTTCATAATCTCTGGTTGTCTAAGTATTTCTGCCATTGCCCATTCTAACGTGCTTGTAATTGTATCGATTCCACCAATAAATATGTCCTGTAAATTAAATTTGGTAATTCTCTCAAATAAACTTAAAAAAGTAGCACATCATGTCTTCTTAACCATGCATCAAAAGAGAAGAGAAGAGAACGAACCAGGAGCATGGAATTCACATAATTTTGATCCATCTCTTGGGGATTTTCTGCACTGTGGTTGAGAAGCACTTGTAAAATATCACTTTTTTCGCTCTTTTCTTCCAACCGCTCATTGATCATATCAACAAAGAGTTTAAACAACTTACCAAAAAGGATGTTTGTGCGATGCCTTATTCTTTTCAAGTAAAGGGAAAAAATCCACTAGGTTGATCTTCCCAGCAACATCAACGATGCCCCAGATCACGTCCTTCAATTCAACCTTCAACTTTTAAAAGTAATATATTAATTTCTCACCCAGCTAATTATACGTTATTAAACAATCATGTTATTCAATTATACCTTTGAATCCGAATAAAGATGAACCAAATCCTTGGAGAAAAGGGTGTTTGACGCTAAATTGAGATTAGTCTTGAAAACAATTTGACCAACATCCACAGCTTCACCTTGTTGACAACATTTTTCACAATAAGCAATCAATTCATTCACCTTTTGAGACCTTAGATGTTGATTTGCATCAAGCCTATTGGTAGAGAAGATATTTATGTTCAATATTCTCCGAAGCATTCGCCATTGAGGACAAACAGGAAGCCATGACATAGAAAATTTGCAATCGTTTTGTGCTTGAAGGGCATTAGGGATAAATCTAGAAGAAAAGGCAAAGTCTTGTTTTGCCATAGCTGATGAAGAAATGACCACTAATGTTATTTGTCCTAACTTTAAACTCATAATTGGACCATATTTTTTTGCAAGATTGGCTAGTGATACATGGGGTTTTGTAACTAACAAGTGAAGATTTCCAATAATTGTCCATGGTGATGGCCCTGGTGGAACTTTTTTGCTTCCTTTGCTACATAGCTTTGCTATAATATAAACAAAACTTATCAAGGCAAAACTTGATCCCATCACAAGTGTATAGTAATCCATTATCTCTTATCACTCTCTTCCTTCCAACTTTGATATTATTGATGTGTTAGAAAGTTTCAACCTCTACCAATTTTTATATGGTTTTAAATATTTTAAGTTGTTAATTATTGTCATTTATAATACTTTTTACATAATTTTTATATTACTTCCTATGTTTCAAATTAAGGAAGGACAATTACTTTTACCTATTATACCCTCAATTTATGAATATTGAATTACTGTTTTTGAAGTGTAGTGAGAAAATATATTTAAGACTCTACCAATTAATAGAGATAAAATGACATACTCACTATACCAATCATTATTTTCTTAACAAAGGTAAGTTAAAATTTGACAAATAAAGGAGTAGTAAAGTAAAATAAAATGTGTAGAGTAATTATTGCGGCCTAACTTTTGAGGAACTCTTTTGGTCCTATTATTGCTTTTCATATGTGTAGAGTAATTACTGCGGCCTAACTTTTAAGGAACTTTTGGTCTTAGGGGAGGAGGGGGAATAACTATGTTTTAGTGTAGATAAGGGTAGTTTATGTTTTAGTGTAGATAAGGGTAGTTTGGCTGGGGGAGGGGGGAAGTGGAATGTGATAATCAGTGTTTTAAAAAGCTCTGTTGGGACTTGCCTTGGGAATCGCCCTAGGGTGGGACTTTAGCAAAACGCCTCGAGACTCAAGTGTGGGGCTTAGTTCTATAAGACTTACGCCTTAAACGTCCGACTGTATGCCCTAAGCACATCCAACGCTCGAGGCTCGAGGCTCGCCTAACATATCTTACACAAATTATGTGTTAAAATCTTTAGTTAAGATTGTTGACCCTCATAATTTTTGAATAATTGAATGATACATAATAATTTTTAATCTATAGAGATAAAGAAGTTTGAGAATAATTCAAATAACAAGTATTAGTATCGCATCTTTCCTATTTGGTAACACTGTGAAAGTAATTATATACTTTGCGTAACATTTTTTTTATAAATACGTCGCAAAATTTTACTTTTAAAACACTAATGATAATATTTCGAATGGTCACTCAATTTAGAATATGCTACTTTTGTGACCATTCGAAATTGGAAATAGATATACATATGTGTTGTGACGAAAAGATGAAAAACGAAAATCTAAAATAAAGAACACCAAGTTTAACGTGGAAAAATCCTTCAAAACGAAGGTAACCACCACGGGATCGACAAGATCCGAATTGCTTCACTATAACAATAAGAGAGTTACAATTATTCTTCTAATGGCTACACAACAAGTGCCAAAAGAGAACAAACAATAGCTACACCAACAAAAGATAAATAGAAAGAAACACCACCCAAACCCAGCTGCTGTTCGGGACTTAAAACAGGATCTTGCTGACTTCCGAATCCGATCTCCACCGTTCAAATCAACCACCAAGATGTCAGGAACACTCAGTACAAATTTCAGCCCGATCCAACGGTTAGTTAATCGGAAAACACGATCTGAAGGTTGCTGGTCGGAATATAGGACTGCAGCAAAAGAACCCTTTTTCTTCTCTCTTATCTCTTGTTGAAAGCTCTCTCAAAAACCTCTCTTATGTCCTAATGTCTTTCAAAGACAATATTAATGAGCAATCTTAATTATTCTCTCAAGACCATCCTCTATTTATAGAGTTGTGCTTTTCCTTACAAAGCCAAAACCAACTCCAAATAGGATTACTATTCCAATCCTTTTCCTAATAGAATTGGAAACCAAATAAAGAGAATAATTCCAATCCTTTTTCAAGTAGGATTAGGCCATGGGCCTTTGGCTGGAACACGGGCAATAGCCCAACAATATGGAGAGAAAAATAATCGATCAATCAAGAATATGAAACCATTTTATTTCAAATAAGGTATGAACATGTTGCAAACACCTTTGAGCTATGATTTTGATTTATTATATATGACAAAAGGTTATTGATGATGGTGGCGGGTAATTATGTTAAGTGATATAATTAGAAAATCAATATTAGATAAATATTTATCGATCAAGTAAAATATCAAAGAGGAGATGAGATAGTTTTCAAAGGATGAGCTTTGGCTAAGATGGCACCAAACTTCTCCTCCATGTCCAAGTATTTTGGCTCAATGCATGCCTCAAGTTTCCAACATTACTGGCATCAATTTCAATGCCAATGGAAATCCAGGGCATGTTCTTCGGCCAACACCAAATAGAATCATTTCAAAAAAATTGTAAAAGAGAGTCACAAGTTTATTGTTTATACCATTATAACATCGTAAGTAGCACGATAGACTGAAATCGAAAAATATACTCTATATTACAGCGCGCAAAATACAGAAAAAACTTAGCTCGACTTAACACACACACACACACACTAATTACATACTCTGAGACACTAGTTAAGCGATTGCATCATTCTGTAGCCTTCCACGATGAAAGGGGCGGAGTTTCTGAATTCTTATGAGTACTCATACCAGGAATATACCGATCACCCTGGACTGCATTAGCTGAAACAATGGATTCAAGCTCTTCCATATCTTCTGATGTTAACTTTATGGACAAAGCTTCAATGTTCTGGTTGAAATTTTCAATCTTAGTGGTGCCTGGGATGGGACACACGTCGTTTCCTTGGTGATGTACCCAGGCCAACGCCAGTTGAGAAGGGGTACATCCCTTCTTTGCAGCCATTTCACAAATCCGCTCGTACAAGATTTTGTTCTGCTCAAGATTCTCAGCCTGGAACCTTGGTAGATGCTGCAAAAATTGAACATCTATTTGAGTCAAACATGTATTTTTCGACTTTAGTACATCGTATACAGAGTAGCACAAATGTTAAGTTCATTCAATATCAGTAGCCACAAATACGACTCTCAATCAACAAGGTCAAAAGGCAATATGTATGCATTAACTAACTACCATGCTCCTTATATACATTTAAGGACAGAAATATACTCGCGATATAAATACACAACAATGAAACATGATATCTATATGTTTGAAATCCAAAACCATACACAAATACAAGCAAATCTAATAAGTTTGAAACTCAAAACAACAATAAATACAAAGCAAACCTTTCGGTAGTCTTCATTTTCCATATCCTCAAGCAGCTTCGGACCTGATGACAAAAAGCCCCGTCCTAGTGGACTGTAAGCCACAATTCCAATTCCAAGTTCCCTAGCAGATGAACATCAAGATCTCACATTGTTATAGACCGCGCACTAACATGAAAAAACAACAGAAAAGAAGTAAATATACCTGCAGGTAGGAACTATTTCTTCCTCCACGTCTCTCGACCACAGAGACCATTCTAACTCGACTGCTGTTATTGGATGAACTGCATGCGCCCTTCTAATTGTTGACGCTGATGCTTCAGATAAACCTATGTGCTTTATTTTACCCTCTTCTACCAGTTTCTTAAGTTCTCGAATCTAGTAAAACAGAGTTCAAAGGAACAAGAAATGTTGATCATTTTAAAGCCTGCATTTTATAGAGTTATAAATTGAAGAGAAAGAAGACCAACCGTGATTTCAATGGGCACACGCGTATCAATTCGGTGCTGATAGTACAAGTCTATGCAGTCAACATCAAGTCGCTTTAAGCTAGCCTCGCACGCTGCCCTCACATAGGCTGGATCACCATGCACTTCTCTGTTTCCCTCTGCTCTCTTATCATCTGATGCTAAAACAACACCAAATTTTGTTGCTAACACAACTCGCTCTCTCATCCCTCCCTTCAAAGCCTACATTATCAGAGACGAAGGGCATTGTTAAGTAGTTCACGAAGTTGATGCAAACCTTGGAAACTACAGTTCAAATCTTAACAGAGACAAAAATACGATGTAGCTTATTTCCATATGTCTAAGTCTTAGTGAGTAAAGTTACAAGATACCTATGCTGGTGGAAGATAACAGGTATCTAGGTGAAATAGTCAAGGTGCACGGAAGCTGATCTAGACACTATTGTCACTAGAAAAAAATACAACTAGAGTACATTGGAAATACAAGTTCACTATATATATATATATCCACCAACCACTGATTATCAGGTGAAAACAACAAAATATAATGCATCATGCCAACCCCCAAAACGTAAAGTACAAGACTTTAAGCACTAAGAACAATCATATATTGCATAAGTAAAAAAAAAACTATTCCAGCTCAAACACCAGTAATTAGCAAGTAACAAACCACACTCCTACCAAAAACCCAAAACCAAAAGGTACAACAGTTAATGCATTACGTACAACCATACTAGTGCATAAAATTTAAAAAAAAATGAAAAAATAAACATTTAATTGTTCTCTCCGTTTCAATTTATAACTTTAAAACACATTCTTTAGTTTAAAATCACGAGATTCAACTTTTTTTTACTTTCTTAAACTTCGTATCTAATCAAAATCAAACAAACAAATTAAAACGCGGAGAGTAATATTACCTTGCCGATGAGTATTTCATTAGTGTTGGGTCCATAGATATCGGCAGTATCAAGAAGGGTGACGCCGGAGTTAATGGCATGGTGGATCACTTTGATCATTTCGGGTTCGGGTTTGGGTAGCCCATAAAAATTAGCGGACATACCCATACAACCAAGCCCTTGAGCAGATACTTCAAGCCCAACTGAGCCCAATTTGATTTTTCTCATTTTTGTTCCCTTTTTCTCCATTTAGCTAATAATGATTTTTATTATGAGAGATAGTGAAGAAATTTATGATTTATTTATAGCTGACATTGAAGGACTGTATCTGGCGGCTCGTTGTGTTAATTGTCATTCATGATGAACTTTACAAGGCATACGTATGCACCTAAGTTCGGGATTTGAATTTTATGAGTATAAAGGATACTCAAAAATTATTTCAGAGTTAATTTTTTTAATCTATCATACTAAACGATCTTTTAGTATGAAATAAAGTATATTTTAGTGAATATTTATAGATAAATATATGATTTACATGGAAAGTAATAAGTTCGGATGGATCTAATTTTGTAACATTGTGAAAGTGTGCAATGCATAATGGTCATGATTATTGGGTTCATAATTACATATTTATATATATATAAATTAATCTTTAAATACAAATACAATAATAATTAAAAAAAAATTACTAAATTCGCAGAGAGTTAAAAAAAGTAATTATGAATTCTTGACACTAATCTTGAATAGATTATTGTACATTTTAAATATTTTTTTATATATAAATATAAAGTCTAAATACTAATAACACGACATATATAAATCTATACTTAGTATTTATAACTTGATAGTACAAAAGTTTAACACTAATAATGTATATAGCTTTAATTATAGAGATGAATACTTTTTTATTAAATATTAAAGGAGCGGGATCGGAGTAATATTTTATACACCGATTATGGATTGTGACAAAGAATATGTAAGCACATACGTCATTATTGATTAAAAAGAGGACCATAGGGGTTGTATGAACATTTTATTGCCATTAATAACTTTTTTTCGAAAAATGCATCATATTGTATTATTTCAAGCTTGTTTCGAAAAATTATTTATGCAACTTTATAGATGTCTTTTGTGATAATATCGTAACGCAGGACTTCAGCAATTTTGGAAGCTAAACATGCTAAAAATAATGTCTATAGCTAAACTAGCTAAATGAGTGAAAATAATCGAAGAACGGAAGTTTGCCTGGACACTATCATGATTTGAAAAATACTTCTCGACTCTGTCCAATTAAGGAAAAAGATTGAATTATACATATTTTGTAAGGCAGTGGAGGAATAAATATCAGTATTTTACTCCATAGGTAAAAGTCTACAAACAGTGGCGGAGCCAAAATTTTCAATAAGAGGGTTCAAAATCTGAAAAAATAAACACATGAAGTACTCGAAGGGGGTTCGACATCTACTATATATACCTAAAAAATTATTTTAACCATGTAAAAATAATATAATTTTCCATCGAAGGGGTTCATCTTGGTGGCTCCGCCACTGTCTACAAACAATAAACATGAAATTTATTATTTGAACCATAAGCAAATGGCACTATAGTTTGAATTTTGAAACAGGGAAATATACTTTCTCAGTGCATATTATGCACAAACACAAGAACAACTCAAGCAACTGCAACATCATGTAGCCTTCCATGCTGAAAGGGGCGGCGTTTCTGAATTTTTGAAAGTACTCATACCAGGTATATATCGATCACCCTGGACTGCGTTAGCTGAGGCAATGGATTCAAGTTCTGCCATGTCTTCTGATGTTAACTTTACGGACAGAGCTCCAATGTTCTGGTTGAAGTTCTCAATCTTAGTGGTGCCAGGAATGGGACACACGTCGTTTCCTTGGTGATGTACCCAGGCCAACGCTAGTTGAGAAGGGGTGCATCCCTTCTTAGCTGCCATTTGACAAATCCGTTCATACAACTTTTTGTTATGCTCAAGATTCTCAGCCTGGAACCTTGGCAGATGCTGCAAAATTGAGGATCAATTTTAAGTCCAATGGGTTGAAGACATGACTTAACTATCCCACGATATCGCGTAGAAAATAGAGGTAAACAAATAGTAACACTAAACATCACGAAGGAGAGCATTGTATACCAATTAAGCAAATGGCAATATATAAGGGATAATGTAAAGTTCATACTTCATGACTTTTGATACAAACTATTGAAAGCTTTTGTTCCTAGTAATGTCATCCAGATCAAAGCTTATTATTCGAAACTCTTTCTTCCCTAAAACAAGTAAATATACTCGCAACAGAAATACATCAATGCAATTAAACATGATAGCAATATGTTTGAAATATGAAACAACAAAGCAAACCTTTCGGTAGTCTTCATTTGACAAATCCTCAAGCAGCTTTGGACCGGAAGACAAAAAGCCCCGTCCTAGTGGACTGTATGCCACAATCCCAATTCCGAGTTCTCTGAATGGTTAACAGATAGGCGAACATCAGAATCTCACATTGCTATAGACCCCAAACACGAAAACTAACAGAAAGAAGATTAAACCTGCAAGTAGGGATTATTTCTTCCTCTACATCTCTCGACCATAGAGACCATTCTAATTGTACTGCTGTTATTGGATGAACAGCATGTGCTCTTCTAATTGTTGATGCTGAAGCCTCGGATAGACCTATATATTTTATCTTACCTTCTTCGACCAGCTTCTTAAGTTCTCCAACCTAGTAAAGCAGGAATCTCAAGGGAATAAGAAATGTTGACAATAGTCTAAAAAAGAGAGCAGTTACATCTATTTTTCCGTTCATCTTCCTATTGTTTGATTCCTGTCTCCGGATGATCATTTCTTTTGTTGTTGCTTTCCTTTTTATTAAAGCAGAAAGACAGTGAATTGTTTTGCTGATTTGGACAATAAGGGCAATGATTTGGTCTAAGCAATATAAAGAGTGTGGCTAACAACAGCTAAGATCAATTCCGAAATATTGCACTGAGATATTAAGTAAAACATTTACTCGAATACTAGCCAGAAGTTCGTATTACAGTCCAGCATTTGTAGATATAATATAACTACTGTACAGTAATTATTTTGTTTGATTTTAGCAGCACTACTTCCTCAGCAGTACATCCTCCGAGTAAGATCAAATACTACATCATTTTCCTGAATAAATAATCAGTAACTACAAAGATCATAAATGGAAAAAGAGAACTAACCGTGACTTCAATTGGAACACGTGTATCAATTCGATGCTGATAGTACAAGTCTATACAGTCAACATCAAGTCGCTTTAAACTAGCCTCGCACGCTGACCTTACATAGGCTGGATTTCCATGCACTTCTCTCTTTCCTTCTGCTTTCTTTTCATCTCCTAAAACAATACCAAATTTTGTTGCTAATACAGCTCGTTCTCTCATCCCTCCCTTCAAAGCCTGCATAGATACATAATTATCAGAACATCAAGCAACAATTATTGCAAAATGGTTAAAATTTCTCAGTTGCTTATGCGATGAATGAATAAGCTTAAGAGTGTGGTTTATGGTTGATGAAGTCGATGCAAACTTTCAAAAGTTCAATTCAAATCTCAGCGGAGACAAAAATAAAATACAAGATGATTTCATTTCACCTGTCTAAGCCTTGGTTTGTAAAGTTACTCAATATTTGTGCTAGTGGAAGCTAGCAACTACACGGTGAAATAATCAAGGTGCACAGAAGCTAACTTGAACACTACTATAAGAAAATACAAGTTCACTACACTTTTGTTTCTGTGTACTTCATATTAAGAAAACAACATTCCAAAACAACGACTTTGCAGGAAAAAAAAACAAATAATCTCAAATAGTAAAATTAGAAATCGCGCACGAGGATACAGGTTTGAAGAATTATGAACAATTCTTCTTCTTAAGGTACAACTCGTGAGGCTTAAGCATCTGAAAGTCTGAAACGTAGCACATTGTAAGGTGAAAACATGTAATGGTACCTCAAAGTCTCATAACAACCCCGCCGCCAACCCAAAAAAGAAAAGTGCAAGACTTTAAGCTCTGAGAACAATCATATTCTGCATATGTAAACAAACAAAAAAGTATTCCAGCTCAAACACCAGTAATTAGCACTACTACTTACTACCTCCGTCCCGTAATGTAACACTCTTTTTTTTAGTCCGTTCCAAAAATGATACTCCCTTCATTTCAATTTGTCTGCCTGGTTTTCACTTACATGAAATTTAAGAGAATAAAGAAAGACTTTTAAATCTTATAGTGTTAAACTAAAGATACGTAGAATGTATCAAAATGTTCTTCAATTGTGTGATCTTAAACATATAGGCAATTTTTAAACGGATTAACAAGAAAAGTAAGACAAACAAATTGAAACAAATAGTTACCTTTTTAGCTTTATTAGTAACAATTTCATTTTGGGACGACGAGTAGCAATCACATACTTTTACCAAAACCAATAAAGGTACAACAATTACAGCATTACGTACAATCATCCTAATGCATAAACCCAAAGAATGGAATTCATCAACAAAAAAAAAAAATTAAGCATTTGGGGGAAAGAAGTTGAATATCATACATTACCAATGAGGATTTCATTGGTGTAAGGCCCATATACATCGGAGGTATCAAGAAGAGTGACGCCGGAGTTAATGGCATGGTGGATTAGTTCGATCATATCGGGTTCGGGTTTGGGCGGCCCGTAAAAAGCGGACATACCCATACAACCAAGTCCTTGAGCAGATACTTCAAGCCCCTCTGAACCCAATTTCATTCTTCCCACTTTTGATCCTAACGTCGCCATCGTTGTCGTTTCACTCTGCTAAATGTGAAGGACTGTGGTTTATAACTATGCGCGGCGGCTGGTAAGTAAATAGTCAATTTATCACTGCACATCTAAATACCTTTAATTCGTCTTCATGTCAATTAAACACTTCAAATTACAAAATAATCATCTAAATACCAAAATTTATGTGTCATGTTACCGTCGTATCCAAATTGTCATTTAGACCAGATTAAGGTGGTTTATATGTACATTCTCAAAGTCGGAGTGCTTACCTGCTATTTGAGGTTAAGTTTGAATGTATTTATATATCATATCATTTGAAAATATTTTTTTTAAAAAAAAAAAAAGAATCAAGTTGCATTGGATGAGAGGGATTGATCAGATGGCAAGCATGTTCAAACTTAAAAGTTGCAAGTTCAAATTATGTTTGGACACATAATTTATTATTTGAAACAACAGCAAGTAGCACAATAGTTTTGAAACAGAAAAAAAATAAAGTTTCTCATTCGATACATTTCACAACACAAGAATAACTCATCATTTATGTAGCCTTCCATGCTGAAAGGGGTGGAGTTTCTGAATCTTTGTAGGTAGCCGCAGCCGAACCGTACCTATCACCCTGGACTGCATTAGCTGAAGCAATGGATTCAAGCTCTGCCATGTCTTCTGATGTTAGCTTTATGGACAGAGCTCCAATGTTCTGATTGAAGTTTTCAATCTTAGTGGTGCCCGGGATGGGACACACGTCGTTTCCTTGGTGATGTACCCAGGCCAACGCGAGTTGAGACGGGGTGCATCCCTTCTTAGCTGCCATTTCACAAATCCTCTCATACAGTTTTTTGTTATGCTCAAGATTCTCGCCCTGGAACCTCGGTAGATACTGCAAAATTGAAGATCAAACCATGCCCCATATTACACTAACAACCCAAATGCGCACTGAAATTAAACATGATATGAATATGCTGGAACTCCAAGACGAACAATAAACACAAGCTAACCTTTCGGAAATCTTCATTTGAGCAGTCCTCAAGAAGCTTTGGTCCGGATGACAAAAATCCACGCCCTAGTGGACTGTATGCTACAATCCCGATTCCAAGTTCTCTAAACAGTTCACACATAGGCGTACATCAGGAGCTCGAATTGCTATAGAGCCAAACACGAAAAATTAACAGAAAGAAGAAAGTACCTGCAAGTAGGGACTATTTCTTCCTCTACATCTCTCGACCATAGAGACCATTCTAATTGTACCGCTGTTATTGGATGAACAGCATGTGCTCTTCTAATTGTTGATGCTGAAGCCTCGGATAGACCTATATATTTAATTTTACCCTCTTCAACCAGCTTCTTAAGTTCTCCAACCTAGTAAAACAAGATATTCAAAGGGGAAAAAATGATGATCATTAACCATTTGAACAAAGATGTGAAAAAATTAAACAATATAAGCACTCCACTTAATTGGTGCGCGGCTGAAATGTATTGGTCTATGCCAATACTCTCTAAAGGTTACCCATGCATTATATCAGAGGTACCGGCTGCTCATTTTAAATTCTTTAAATGGTTCATCAAGCTCAGAGATGTAAACTAGAAGTCAGAAAAGTCTAAATTAGAGTGCAGTTGCATCTAATTTTGTCTCAACTTCATATTGCTTCTTCCCATCTCTGGAGGATCAATTCTTCTTCTTATTTTTGTCTGTGTAGAAAGCCATTTGGATTATAATCGCGACGATTGTACTATAAACATATACAGAGACTGGCTTTCAACAACTAGATCAACTCCAAAATGATTGTGTATGTTGATCAGCATTGAAGCCATTTAGTGTTTGTAATTGATGATTAGGAAACGTTCATAACATTCATTTTACAGAGTTGTGGAATAGAGAACCAACCGTTACTTCAATGGGCACGCGTGTATCAATCCGGTGCTGGTAGTATAAGTCTATGCAGTCAACATCAAGTCGCTTTAAGCTAGCCTCGCATGCTGCCCTTACATAGGCTGGCTCTCCGCGCACTTGCATTTTTCCATCTGCAAAACATACAGCAAATTTTGTTGCTAACTCAACTCGTTCCCTCATCCCGCCCTTCAGAGCCTGCATAAATACAATGGTCATGGATTATCATATAACCTTGAGGACCAAGAGACTCTCAACCAACCCAAGAACCGAGAGTCACGCTCTTAGCAACTGACCATGACTCTCATCATTTGAAAAAAGAACAAACGAATTACATATAGACCCTCTTCTTTACCCTGTAAAAGGAGCCTCGCCCCTACAAGCAAGGACATCAATCATCAATTACTCGCTGCAACTACTACATTACACTCCGAAAAGATCTTTCTTTAATTTACTAGTATTCCTGTTCTTAGAATTGGCTGACTTCGTATCGACAAGAAAGTTTTTTTTTTTACTGGACAGCGGATCAATAATAAAACAACTCCCTCTCTTCCTCTCTGTCTCTGAGCTTTCCATTCTCTGTTATTTCTATCATTTCACTTCAATTTTTGCTACGTGTGCCCTTATCCTGACCTCGATAGATTTTAGCATCTAAATAATCAGACTATGAGAATATAGAATGAATTTGTTGGAACTAGCTATAACAAGGATAAAATCTGCATAGTAGCACTGATTTCATATATTGGAACCTTCAAATTCCAAGCACCCAGCGGAAACCATCCACCAACACCCAGGGCGGATCTAGTAAAGAACCTATCGACTCATCTAAACCCAATAGCTTTGGCTTAGACCATGTATATGCGTTAAAAAGCTCAATAAATTAGTATAAATGATAGATTTTGAACCAGTAAATTAGACGGCATATGATAAAATTTGAGTGCGAACCCATAAAGTTCAAATTTTTTTGTTTCATGACCGTGGTGTCCGGCCTAGCTTTCGCATACCTCGACTAATTCCACAGGATACCTACCACCTCCCACCAACAACAGGTATCAGATAACTCTATGCACCAAAGCTAGGACAGATAGGACATAAAGTTCAAATTTTGAATTCGCTTATGCTAGCACCCCAGAAAATATACAAGGTTTGAAGAACCATGAACTACATTTCTTGGTAAGGTCCAACTCAAGAGACTTAAAACATGTAAAGTATAGCACCAACTCCTACCCAACCTAAAACAAAGAGTAGAGTCCTTTCTATATTATTGATAACCATGGTGTCTCGATTGAACCTGAGACCTCGTGTTCTCAACTCATTTCATTGACCATTAGACTACACCCGTGGGTGCAAAAAGTACAAGTCTTTTAAGCTTTATGAACCAGCACATTTTGCATATGTTACAATTATTCCAGCACAAACACCAAAACTCCAAAACCAAAAGGTACAACAGAACAGGCATACGGTACAATAAAATCAATGCATAAATGCTTAGAAATCCAGAAAACAGTTCAGCTCAAGCACAAGAAAAGCCAATCACCAAAAAGAAAAAAAAATGTACAGCATATTTAACATTAGGTACATACATCCTACTGCATAAAACTCACAGAAATTAACAAATTGATACCTTGCCAAGTAGGATCTCGTTAGTGTGGGGTCCATATACATCGGAAGTATCGAGAAAAGTGACGCCGGAGTTAATGGCGTGGTGGATGAGTTGGATCATATCGGGTTCGGGTTTGGGCGGCCCGTAAAAAGCGGACATACCCATACAACCAAGTCCTTGAGCAGATACTTTAAATCCCTCTGAACCCAATTTCATTCTTCCCACTTTTGTTCCCTCTGCCGCCATTGTTGTGATTCAGCTTAAGCTTATTACTCTGCAAATATGCACGTAATAGAGCAAGTGGATATTGTATTGTATTTATAGAGAGGTTGTTAATTAGATGAGGTATTGACAAATGACAAACCACCAAAGTTGTGGCTGAGTGTGTACTTTCGTTCGGAAAGTTCGAATCCTGGATATGAAATTGTTTTTATAAATTTGTTGTGTAAATTTGAATTAGTATGTATGATTAAATCCTTGATATGAAATCGTTTATGTAACTTTGTGTGAGTTTGAATATGTATGTTCGTTCCAATCTTGTATATGAAATAACTTTTATAACTTTTGTGCAAATTTAAATTAGTATGTACGTTTGAACTTTGAATCTCGAATATGGAATCATTTTTGTAACTTTGTGCAAGTTTGAATTAGTATGGATATGAAATCGCTTTTGCAACTTTGTGTAAATCTAAACTAGTATGTATGTTCGAATTCTGCATGTGAAATTATTTCTGTAACTTTGTGCAAATCGGAATTAGTGTGTGTTCAAATTTTGGACAAAAGATCGCTTTTGTAACTTTGTGCAAATTTGAATTAATATGTACTTTCGAATCCTAAATGTGAAATTATTTTTGTAACTTGATGCAAATCTGAATTAGTATGTATGTCGACAACTGAACATGAAATCATTTTTTATAATGTTGTGCAAATTGAAATTAGTGTATATGTTTCAATCGTGGATATTAATTTGCTTTCGTAACTTTGTACAATTTGATTCATGTTGATTGCCTAACTTAATATACTTTTTAAGTTATTCTTGTATTAATTTTGGTATAACTTATACGATATTTGGTAGGAAGTAAGTTACGGATAGGTCGAATAACTAATACAAACCCCAATCGGTATCAATATTTTACTCCATAGGTAAAAAAGTCCACAAACAGAGAATTGATTTTATTATTTGAACCATCAGCAAGTGGCACAATAGTTTTGAAACAGAAAAAAAGAATAACAAACTTTCTCATTGCATACACTGCACAACACAAGAACAACTCATCATTTATGTAGCCTTCCATGCTGAAAGGGGTGGAGTTTCTGAATCTTTGTAGGTAGGCGCAACCGAACCGTACCTATCACCCTGGACTGCATTAGCTGAAGCAATAGATTCAAGCTCTGCCATGTCTTCTGATGTTAGCTTTATGGACAGAGCTCCAATGTTCTGATTGAAGTTTTCAATCTTAGTGGTGCCCGGGATGGGGCACACGTCGTTTCCTTGGTGATGCACCCAGGCCAACGCGAGTTGAGACGGGGTGCATCCCTTCTTAGCTGCCATTTGACAAATCCTCTCGTAAAATTTTTTGTTATGCTCAAGATTTTCGCCCTGAAACCTCGGTAGATGCTGCAAAGTTGGAGATCATTTCAAGTCAAATGCACTGCAATTAAACATAATGTGAATATGTTGGAACTCAAAACAAACAATAAATATAATCTAAACCTTTCGGAAATCTTCATTTGTCAAGTCCTCAACCAGCTTTGGACCGGATGACAAAAAGCCCCGGCCTAGTGGACTGTATGCTACAATCCCAATTCCGAGCTCTCTGAACAGTTAACAGATCAGGATCTCACATTGCTATAAACCTCAAACACGAAAAATAAACAAAAAGAAGAAAAAACCTGCAAGTAGGGATTATTTCTTCCTCTACATCTCTCGACCATAGAGACCATTCTAATTGTACTGCTGTTATTGGATGAACAGCATGTGCTCTTCTAATTGTTGATGCTGAAGCCTCCGATAGACCTATATATTTTATTTTCCCCTCTTCAACTAGCTTCTTAAGTTCTCCAACCTAGTAAAACAAGAATTGTAAAGCATAAAACACGCTGATAGTGTATTTTTTTATGCAGCATTGAGCCATTTTACAGAGTTGTGGAAAAGAGAAACCAACCGTTACTTCAATGGGCACGCGTGTATCAATCCGGTGCTGGTAGTACAAGTCTATGCAATCAACATCAAGTCTCTTTAAGCTAGCCTCGCATGCTGCCCTTACATAGGCTGGCTCTCCACGTACTTCTCTCTTTCCATCTGCAAAATGTATACCAAATTTTGTTGCTAACTCGACTCGCTCCCTCATTCCTCCCTTCAAAGCCTGTATTAGAATTTTAGTAGCTCAGTTAGTTAACTAGCTACCTGAACTTTCACCTTATTACTCATGTTCGATTAGGTACAACCATCCTACAAGAATTAAGAATTTGATACCTTGCCAAGGAGGATTTCGTTAGTGTAAGGCCCATAACTATTAGAAGTATCGAAAAATGTTATGCCGGAGTTAATGGCATGGTGTATTAGTTCAATCATATCGGGTTCGGGTTTAGGCGGCCCGTAGAAATCGGACATACTCAGACAACCAAGTCCTTGAACAGATACTTCAAGTCCCTCTGAACCCAATTTAATTCTTCCCATATTTTTTCCTTCTTTGGCCATTGTTGTGATTCAGTTAAAAAACTCGAAGAAGTGTTTCTATATATAAGCACTAATATTACTTTATTTATAATATGTAAGCACATGCGTTTTATTTATTATATGTAAGCACATGCATCACTAATGTGTTTCACTCTCTATTCATGCTAAGAAATTTTATATACTAGTTTATGACTTTTCATTTTTCTATTTAATAAGATTATTAGTCATTTTAGGATTAGGACGTCAGTTGATGCCAAGATAAGAAAGTGAGAGAGGCTGATTGTAGATGGTATGTGGAGGTATATAAGAAGTAGATTGAAAAAGTATTAGGGTAAAGTAATTAGATAAGACATGACAAACTTCATATTATTGAAGATATTACTATAGAGTATAGATAGTAAGGAATAGAGGTCATTTATTAGGATAAAAGGTTAATAGGGATAATGTTTGTCTTGTCTTACGTAGATTGTTGTGTAGTACTAGTCTTACCTTTGTAGTTCTAGTATATATATGTTGTTTATTGAGTTTTGATTGTTACAGTATTTTATTGTTGTTAATGTTTCTTTCTCGTAGCCTTTACACTACTTTCTTTTTAATGGTTACGCTCTCTTCATTGTTTTCTTCTTCTTGTACCTAGGTTTGATGCACTTGAGTCTTCAGAAACAACTCTCTACTTTCACAAGATAGTAATTAGGTCTATGTACACTTTAACTTCCCCGTGGAATTCACTGAATATGTTATTGTTGTTGTAATATAACCGGCAGGAAAAAAACAAATATAAGGAGCCACTATGAAGTATAGCCAAACGAAGTAGTTACTCCCTCCGTTCCATTTTATAAGGCACGCTTTTCTTTTAGTCTGTCCCAAAAAGAATGTAACCTTACTATAACTAGTAATAATTTAACTTTAAAATACCCTCTTTATCCTTAATGAAATGATTTTCAACCACAGAAATATCTAAAAATTGTTTTAGATCACAAATTTCAAAAGTCTTCATTTTTTTCTTAAACACCGTGTCAAGTCAAATGATATCACATAAAATGAGACGGAAGAAGTATTGAGGATTCAATTCTCACCTTGTAACTCACAAAATTTCAATTTTTTTCAAGTGAAATTCAATGTTCAAACATAACATCAACTTCAAAAACTCCTCTTTCTTTTTTTTAAGTTCCAACCAAATCACACATCATATTTCCAAGACACCACAAGGTACAACATATTTAACATTAGGTACAACCACCCTCTTACATAAAACTCAAAGAATTACTTTTTATGTTCCTCTTATGTTGTCATGTGGCACTTATAGAGAGTAACTAATTCTCAAAGCTAAATTAGGTTATATTGATTTGATATTTTATATTAAAAAATTAAATATACGAAAAGTACTATAAATTATAATTTTTTATATCAATATAATGAAAAATATAATCTTAAAATTTATATGATTTACAAATTGGTACCTTGCCAAGGAGGATTTCGTTAGTGTGTGGCCCATAACTATTGGAAGTATCGAGAAATGTAACGCCGGAGTTAACGGCATGGTGAATGAGTTGGATCATATCGGGTTCGGGTTTGGGCGACCCGTAAAAACGGACATACCCATACAACCAAGTCCTTGAACAGATACTTCAAGCCCTTCTGAACCTAATTTGAATCTTCCCACATTTTTTCCTCTTTCGCCATTATTGTGGTTCACTTTAAAAGTTCGAAGAAGTGTTTTTTCTATATATAAACACACACATAACTTTATTATATGTAAGCACACGCGTCACTAGTCATAATGTGTTTCATTTTCTCTATTGCTAAGAATTTTTTAATTAAACATTGAAGACCTTATGAACCCTTGTGACTATGAATTCAACAAACACTAGATAAATTATTGGAGTAGTTATTTGAATAAGACGATTTAAATACTTGTTGTTGACTTTTCATTTTTCCATTCAATAAGTGGTTATGTGAAGAGGAGGTACGCTAATGTTCCAATGATGAGGTGTGAGAGGCCGGTTGTAGGTGGTTATGTGGAGGAGTGGAAGCAGGTTGAAAAAGTATTGAAAGAAGTTATTAGACAAGATATGGTGCAGTTTCATATTATCGAGCGCCTGACTCTAGATAGTAAGGAACGAAGATTGTATATTAGGATAAAAAAAAATAGTAGGGATAATAGAGTATTGTCATGCCTTGCGTAGATTGTGTGTAACACTAGTCATATCCTTGTAGTTTTAGTCATATATTATTTACAGTATTTTGATTATCATATTATTTTGCCATTGTTACTGTAAACTTTACATTGCTTTCTTATTAATTATTTATTATGCTCTCTTCATTGTTAATTTATTCGTATACTTGAGTTTGATGTACTTAAGCCGAAAATATTTCAGAAACAGTTTTTCTACCTGCATGAGATAATGATAAAATATGTATACAACACTCTACCTTCTTTAGACCCCATATAGTGAGATTTTACTAGATATATTGTTGTTGTAATTCAATCGGTGGGGAAAAACAAATAGAAGGAGCCACCATGAAATATAGTCAAACAAAGCACTAATGATCGAGGGTTCGATTTTCTACCTTATAACTCGCAAAACTCTAAAAAATATCAAGTGAAATGTAATGTCCAAACATAACTTCAACTTTCAAAAACTTTTTTTGTTTTCAAGTTTCTACCAAATACCCAATCACACATCATTCCAAGACACCACAAGGTACAAACATATTTAACATTAGGTACAACCATCCTACTGCATAAAACTTAAAAAAAATTAAAAAATTGATACCTTGCCAAGTAGGATCTCGTTAGTGTAGGGCCCATATAAATCGGAAGTATCGAGAAGAGTGACGCCGGAGTTAATGGCGTGGTGAATGAGTTGGATCATATCGGGTTCGGGTTTGGGCGGCCCGTAAAAAGCGGACATACCCATACAACCAAGTCCTTGAGCAGATACTTCAAGTCCTTCTGAACCTAATTTGATTCTTCCCACATTTTTTCCCTCTTTCGCCATTGTTGTGGTTTAGCTTAAAAGTTTGAAGAAGTGTTTTTCTATATATAAGCACAAACGTAACTTTATTATATGTAAGCACACGCGTCACTAGTCATAATGTGCTTCATTTTTTCTATTGCTAAGAATTTTTTTATTTAAACTAGAAGACCTTATGAACCCTTGTGACTATGAATTCAACAAACACTAGATAAATTATCACTAGTCATAATGTGCTTCATTTTTTCTATTGCTAAGAATTTTTTTATTTAAACTAGAAGACCTTATGAACCCTTGTGACTATGAATTCAACAAACACTAGATAAATTATTGGAGTAGTTATTTGAATAAGACGATTTAAATTAGAGCCTGTTTGGATGGGCTTTTAAGCTGGTCAAACTGGCTTAAAAGCTAGTTTTTGACTTATTAGAGTGTTTGACAATTATCAAAGTGACTTATTTTAAGTAAAAAATGACTTAATTTTAAGCCAAAAGCTAAAAGCTAGGGGAGGGGAGCTTCTTTTTTTTTTTTAACTTAAAAGCCCTTTTATGTTGACCAAGTATATTACCTTTTTGCCCTTAATTCTTTTATACAATTTCTAAATTGTCCATATTGAATTATTATTATTATTATTATTATTATTATTATTATTTTATTATTACTATTTTATTTTATTTTAATTATTATTATAATTTTATTTTATTATTATATTTTTATTTTATTTTATTATTATATTTTTATTTTATTTTATTTTATTATTATTATTTTATTATTATCATTATTATTATTATTATTATTTTATTACTATTATTATTATTTTATTATTATCATTATTATTATTATTTTATTATTATCATTATTATTATTATTTTATTATTATCATTATTATTTTTTATTATTATATTATTATTATATTATTATTATTTTATTATTATCATTATTATTATTATTATTATTATATTATATTATTATTATTATTATTATTCCTCTTATAAATAATTTGTGGTGGTAAAGAAACATGTGATATTTTATTATTATTATTATTATTTTATTATTATCATTATTATTTTATTATTATCATTATTATTTTATTATATTATTATAATTATTTTATTATTATCATTATTATTATTATTTTATTTATATTATTATTATTATTATTATTATTATTATTTATTATTATTTTATTATATTATTATTATTATTATTATTATTATTATTCCTCTTATAAATAATTTGTGGTGGTAAAGAAATATGTGAATGGTAGGAAAATATTATTACTTATGGATGTAAAATATAAATTAATTTTTTTTAAATTTTTTTTAAAGTATAAAAACCTTAAATTAATCAACTTTTCATCATGTTAATAACTTAAAGGGTATTTCAGACATTTTGATAAAAAAAGTGTTTACCAGCACTTATTTGCCAAACACATCAACAACTTTTTTTTCAACTGCAACACTTTTATCCAAACACATAACTACTTATTTTTAAAATAAGTTCCAGCACTTTGAAAAGTTACTTTTTAAAAGTTACTTTTTTTAAGTCAATCCAAACGGGCTCTTAATCATATACTAGTCGTTGAATTTCATTTTTCCATTCAATAAGATTATTAGTCACTTTGGACATGTGAAGAGGAGGTACACTAACGTTCGAATGATGAGGTGTGAGAGGCTGGTTGTAGCTGGTTATGTGGAGGGGTAGAAGTAGGTAAAAAAAATATTGAAAGGGGTGATTAGACAAGACATGATGCAACTTCAAATTATCGAGCACTTGACTCTAGTTAGGAAGGAGTGAAGATTGTATATTAGGATTAATAAAATAGTAGGAATAGAGTATTGTCTTGCATTGCGTAGATTGTTGTGTAGCACAAGTCATATCCTTGTAGTTTTAGCCATATGTATCATATTATTTTGTTATTGTTATTATTATTATTTCTTTCGTGTAAACTTTACATTGCTTTCTTATTAATTGTTATGGTCTCTTCATCATTAATTTATTCTTATACTTGAGTTTGATGTACTTAAGCCGAGAATATTTCA